GCAATTAAACCTGAATACTGAGGTTTTATGTTTAGAAAAAATAACTCACACATTAACATCTTTTGTCTTAAAAGTAAAACAAACATACACGCCATAGATTCACCACCACCACTCTAGAGACTCCAGGCCAGGGACAAGTAGACAAGGGACTGGATGGCAGCCCTGGAGAGGAAGCCTGCAAACAGGGGCACTTGCACTGTTATGGTCTGTATCTGGATGTACCCCCCAAAGTCTCATGCAGTCATGGGGCAGGCTTCTAGAGTTTATGATTGATTCAGGGTCCAATGCTGGGATTACGGGTGTGAGTGCTATACCTGCCCTGGGGAGGGTAGTTTGCATACAATGTAAGGGAGGGAAAGAGGCTGCTTGCCTTTGCTCCTCCTCTTGTGCTCTTGTTGCTTTGCTGTCTTCTGCCACCATGAACTGTTGCCCTCTGCCATGTGCCACTCTGCCTTGGAGCCAGTTGAGTATGGACTGAAACCTCACAAACTGTGAGCTAAATAAACCTTTCCTTCCTTCATTCTGGGTGTCAGGTATTTTGTCTCAGCAATGAGGGAAAAGTAACCAAGACGTCCACCATCCCAAAAGTCCTACAAAGCAAGATGAGTATGGAAAGAGCTCATCTAAGTTGTGTTCTATTATCCCAGTGATCAGAAGAAAAGAATTCTCAATTTTTTACCATAAAAGTAACATTGTGAAGCCGTGTAATGGTGGGCTTAGTGCTAGCAGGGGTGAAGATAAAATGGTAACAGAAAGCAAGGTGACTGTCCCAGCTTTATTCAGGTTGCTATCAGGGAAATACGCATGACCTTTTGGACTCTGCTGGGCAGGTGAGCCCCCGGCACTGTGGAGCAGGCATATTCGCAGTTGTAGACTGTGTGCAACAGGAAGGGACTCACCTGCACCACACACTCCGCTTACTATGTCCTGTTGAGAGTGTGCCACTCACACTAAGGCGCCCAAGAAATGTTCAAGGCTGCACAAACATTTCTACTGAGGGATACTGGAATACACAGAATGATAACCTCATGAAATTAAAAAAAAGAAAAAAAGCAGCTATACCTTAAAGAAATCAGGTCAGGACTAATGAGAATCACTAGCGGTAGGCTTTACCTACTCCCACTAGTCTGTTCACAGTGCTTGCGTGTTCTTCCTGGAAACCTGTCATCCTAAGTGTATTTTCTTCAAAAAAGATGAGTAAGGCATTAGGAAATAGGAAGAAGGAGATGGACAATAGCATATTTTCTCTTGTGTTTTCCCCAAGGCGAAACCATTATAACACAGATTCAAAGAGCAAAGTTAACACCAAGGCAGTTCTCCATACCGTCTTTCAGAGTGTGCCCCCTGCTTTGAAACAGGAATCATTATTTCCCCCAGAAGATCTCTAACCCAAGCATCCTTGTCCTCTTCAGAGAGGGGAAAGGTTGAAGTAAGAGCAAGGCCACTGGGGACCACTGCAGAGCAGAGCAGAGCGGTCTGGGCTCGCCTTTGCCTCCTCCCATCCCTCCACTCACAACTTCTTGGTTTTTATTTCCCCCGTTTCTTGCCTTCCTTGTAATCCTCCTGGGCTGGGAATACCCAACGGTGTCTGCCCTATTTCTGGGAAGGTGAAAGATAAAACATTGTGCTGCAAAAGCTGCTTGATTTTTCTCTACCCTTTCAGAATGTTTCAAGTCAGAACCTGAGCCTTAAAAGAAAAAGAAATCTTTGAAAACCACCTCAATCGCTTGCTGTGATCACAAATAAATTTCTAATTTACAGACTTAGTCTTTTCCACTTTCAAGAATGAAGATCTATGGGACAAAGGGGAAAATGTTTAAAAATTCAGATTATGATGAATTTCATTACTGCTTGCTATTTGGGAGTTTTACTGTTAATTTAGTAAAGAGAGGAAGGTTATCACAGATTAATGCCGAGTTCAAAGCTGGCAGCACTGGAAGACCCAAACGCTTGATTGATTTATTTGCCCCTTATCAGCACTCTCCAGTCTTCTTCTCTTTAGGAGGAGGAAGCTCAGTGGTAGAGCGCCCCTGGGTTAGACTCCGCCCCCCCAAAAAAGTATGGTAGTAGTGCATAGATCAAAGCACTTAGAAAAATCCTTTATAAATGCTATTATCTCAATATAAATGCTTTATCTCTAAGGCCCTAACATTCTCCTTCTTATTCCATTCAACTCAGTAAACTTTTTCCACTTCCACGTGGCACAAATTAGTAATTACATCAAGTTGTCCTCCTTTATTAGGGCCTGCACCTACATTTTCACCACCAAGTGACTTTTATGAGAAAGAGATGGGAAAATACATCTCCTGGGTGGCTGCCTTTCCTAGCCTGTGGCGGGTATAGGAATGTAGGATGTAAGAATCCAGAACAGGCGAATCCCAGCTTCCAGGACCATTGATTTCTTCCCATGTACCCTTTCCTCCTCATTGCTACTAAGACCATGTGGTGGGGCTACCATATGGCTCCACTGGGCCCCATATGGCTCCATCTCACTAAAAGGAGCGCTCAAGAACATAAAAACACTGCTGTATACTTTTATTGCAACCCCTTCTCATTTTCCTCCATCTGTCTTCCATATGGTTTATGCAACTCTATTAGGCTTTTGCACACACAACCCTCTGATAATGAGGGCTGCTAAGTCGACCAAGATAGAGAACTAGAATTCACCCCTGCACGTGACAAGGGGCCTCCACTGCTTTAAATATCTGATTCATTCATGCTTTTCTTCTGCTTGCATGCAAAATTTATTTTATGTTTTCAAAAAATGTTGTCAACAACAACAAAAAAAACCTTACATGATCACTTTTCTGTTGTATTTTCTCCAAGTGATTGCTTGAACTTTGGAAGAGGTACAAATGACTTCCGCTTAGGTGTCCCTACTATGCCTACTAATCACTCTTTCTCTACAGGTAACTTTTTCATTTTCATATATTTCTGCCACTATTTTCTTTTGTAAAATGTCTCCACAAAACTCTGAAATTTCATGTGTCCTCCCTTCAGGCTCCACAGAAATGAACAGGAATTGGGTGATTCTGATTCCACTGACTTCCTCCTGCCCCACCTAGGTTGGGGCAGGAGGGTCAAGGCGCTGAGTCCTGATGTTTTGTGTGCACATGGCTGAAGTGACATGCATGACCCCAGGAGCAGCATAACTGAGAGGCAGCAGGAATAATCACTAGATGGGGTACACATCCCTATTCCCGACAGGAGGAACTCTTGACCTTAGTAACAGATAGCAGGATGATCATCATTCCAGTGTGAAACAGCGAGTCTGTTGGTGAGCACTTGGGCCATTTTTCTCAAAAGTAGAACGGGTTGGGGGTGAAGCTCGGTGGTATAGCACTTGACTCGCTTGCACGAGGCCCTGGTTTTTATCCTCAGCACCACAAAAACAAAAGAAAATAGAACAAAACCTCAAAAGGGCAGGGGGCACAAACTGGTAAGAATTTTTTTAAAAAGGAAAAAATAAATTATTATTTAATAGTTTTCATACTTATGTTAATGAGCAGAAAGCATCCAGGCCTTCTACAGCGCTACCACATTTAAAGTGTCCAGTCCTTTCCCTGACAGACGACTTGCCTGTATTCTAGTCCAAACCGCCCCTGTAAAGCAGCCTGGCAGTCAGCATAGGGGAAATGATGCCCAGCTCCATGATGCCCAGGTCCTCATCATATCTGATGAGGCAGAACATGAGAACAGTGCTCACATGTGCAAAATATTAATCTGTGGACACACACAAAAACAACCTGGCAGGAACTCTTCAAGCTTACTTTTTGTGTATAAATGACAGCTACTGATTTCCCCAATTTTATGCACAATATTTACTTTACAATAATGTTAATATAGGACACATGATTGAGTCACCTAGCTACTTCTGTTTTTAACCCACTCACATATTTCATACATCACTGTTTCTCTTACTGTCCTATGTAATTTAATGTAGATATATAGGTCCAAGCATCAGTCACATTCGGACAAGAACTACTGGGAGGCAAGGAAACTTGCCCAAGCCACCTAAGCTGCTATTTCACAATCCCTCCCACATGGCAAAAACTGAAGCAGTTCCTCTGTACTAGTACAACCTACAGCTACCTTTTCTCGATGCAGTCAGTTTTGTGCTCAGCTACTGCAGGTACCAAAGTACCAGCAAAAAGTGCAATTCGGTCAGGGGATCAAGTTGCAAAATGCAGACTACCATCAGAGGCCTATTCATCGGAATAACTGCTCCAGGCTGGAACAAATTACACATTCTGGTTAAGAGAGGCAAATACTTTCCCTTCTGTGATAACGGAAATTATGGCTAAGTCATTTTGTAAATGGAATAGTGCTCGCAAAGTATGTGAACGAAGAGGCTAAATGGGTATTTCAGCAAATGGGTTGAATAAAAAGGGCAAGAAGACTGATCAATAAGGCTTCAGTGATTACAATTTCTGGTCTACAAAGCTATAAGTATCATATTCTGCACTCCAGGGCTTGCTTGGAGCAGGCAGTTTGTCAACCACTTGGAAAAAGGCAGAAGTTGCTGCTAAGCCTGAGCTGCTGAGTGACTGCAGTAAAATTGGGGTAGCCGCTGAGGAGTTGCAGTAATTGTTGACTTTTTGGCAGGGAGTCTACTCCCCCCAGCTCAACACTTCTCACAAGCCAGGTGAACGCCAGCTAGCCTGACCCCTTGTATTTCTTTCCATTGTACAGGGGCTGTGTTGGAGGTTGATCTCTTGCCAATTGCCTCTGGGTGAGATTTGATAAAAATTACCAAAGAAACAAGAACATCTGCCTTCCTATCATTTTCTTTGTATGGATACTTCCCATGCAGCTGCTTGAGAACTGCATGTGTCCATTTACTAGATTTAAACAAAACAGCACAAGGCAAAGGGGGAGGCCCATAAAGCATATGCTATTTCACCCCACCGCGGTTTGGGAACAGCGGGCGCCTCCCCCCAGGGTGCTGACAAGGGCATCAGCAGCTGGGAGTCCGGAAGCAGGAGGTACCCTCGTCTTACCTGTTTCTTTGTCTTGGACTTCCTCCAGGTGCAAGTCATTCAAAAGGTGCTCCAAGATCTTCTCCGGGGTCCCGGACACCACCACATATCTGTCAGAGAGCAGAGAGTCCACTGAGTCATCCTCGGTGGAAGACTGCGAGCGGCTGCTCCATTCATCGTCCTCATCCTCCTCGTCGATGTATTTGAAATAAGGCACATCGAAGGTGGGCAGGGGCAGCTCTCGGTCCGAGAGCACCGTGGAATCTTTCCTCTCTAGATGAGGGTCAAAGACCCTCAGCCGGGAGCTGCCCATTGTGCGCGGTTACTAACAAAGGCATCCCCTAAATGCTAAAAGATCTTGCCATCCCTGTGCTTTCACTGGGAACCGAGTCCATCTGGCTGCTCAGAGCTCTGCAGTCAGCTAGAAAGCTGGAGAGGCGGAGAGAAAAAAGAGGGAGGGAGGGTAGAGTAGGCAGAGGGAGTGGGTGAGATGGAGCAGGAGAAGGAAGGCAGCAGGGGAAGGAAAGCGGAGCGCGTGCCTAGGTGGCTGCAAGGCAAACTCTCACCTCCAATCGCTCTCTGCGCTCCCAGCGGCGGCGGGGGCTGGGCCACAGCCCTGCGCTTTTTTCAGCACCAGGACAGTCTGGTCTTGCTCTTTAACCTGAAGAGTCGTCACTTCATCTTGCTTTAGTTGCCGATGGGAGTGATGGATGGGAAAGGAAAAAGGGGAGAGGAAATTAAAAATGAGCCAACTCAAGCTGCATTTCATAGGGTGGCTTTATGGCATCATTTAAAAACAAAAAAAATTTAGAATAAATGAGGAGCATGGCTAAGAGTCTCTCTAACCATACAGTTTCCAGAATTGAGTTATACAGAAACATAAAACATTAGATGTAAATACTTTAAAAGAAATAGAAAGGAAACAGAGGTGGAGAGTAGGCATTCAAAGAGTTTATTTTTAAAACTACCTGAACAATTTGAATTAAGAGAAGTTCAAAGTTTCAAAAAGCACAGCTAAGTGCATGTGTACTATCTGTCTTCTTTTACTTGGCTAGTGTTTACTAAACAGTAATAAAACTGGAAAATCATATGAAACATACATTTTTTTAAACCTTAAAATAAATAAGCACTGTTTTACTTTAAACGGTGGGCAAAAAAAGTACTCATTCAATCACTCGGGTCATTTTTTTCCAGACTCAAGATTGTCTTCATATTTTTCATGTACTTCAAATTTTTCCGAACGCAAGCAAAAATGGATCTCTAGTTAGAATCTCATCTAGGCTGAAATTCGGATGTCACGGTTGACCGCGCTGGCTTTCTTCACCTCAGTCTCTTTTTAAAAAGGGGAAGGCTGAACCATCATTCATTTCTGCACACACAGCTTCCACTGCCCGGAGCCAGGGTGGCCCGCTGACACGGCTCAGTCCGCACAGGACGCTCCCTGCTGACCCAGCAGTGTGGAACCAACTCTGCGCGGTGAACACTTCCAGGGCATTTAGTGTGAAAGTCTCCCAGTGTGCAACACCCAGGAAGCACAAGGCATCCCAGAAAAAAGAACCATAAGATGCATGGGAGAAAACCTAACTTTCATATTTCTGATGACTTGAGCAAAACGGGGAAAGCAAGAAAAGCTGGTAAAAGCAGGTTTTACCTTACAAATGATGTCACTTCTTTACAAAGAGAAACATGTGCTAGGGTTTCTAGCATGTTTCTATTTCTATCTCTGACAGAAAATTCTACTTATAATTAGGTACAAACATAAAAAGAAAAGATACCCCTGCCCTTGTGAATAAAATGCATTATATCCATGGTGCTGTATTAATTGCTTCTATTGACCAACCAGGGATGTCGATGTATTGTGTTTACTCTTCGTAAGAATAGAAAGGCACTAATCTTGCCCTGATTGCCAGCTAAATCAGTGATAAGATTGTGATTTCAACTCCCGGTGTCCTGAATTCTAAGAATATATAATGATTTACTCATTTAAATCCTTTCAGATTTCCTTAAAAACAAACAATATTGGTCATTTAAAATGCAATATAATTTTATGATCATTCTTTTTTAATCTTTAATGGCAAATAATTTTACTACGTCAGACTGATGTATTACATTTCAGCAAGGTCAGATGCACAGTTTCTGTGGCAATTAATGTTGGATATTCATTGTTGAACTCCCTGAGGACGGCAGCGTGACTCCCGTAACATGAATACCAATGTGTAATTGCTATCTTTCATTTCTCCGGAACAGTTCTTTTGTTATCCATGTAGCTGAAGTGAAATAAAGTAGCCAGAGAGAAGGGCATATATTGACCAAAAATAAAATTAAAAAAAAAAAGAGAGTATGAGGGTCTGGAATATAAAGACATACAGAAACAAATAACTGTTACTTGAAAGGAGAAAAATCTTTCCCTGGTTTCCCCTAATTGTAAGCCAATACTCATTTTATATGAGCCTGCTGTCATTCCGAAGTACATTTTACATTCTATGCACATGTGATATATGGCATTATTAACTTCAGTGGGCCACGCACATACATATGGATAGGAAGGGCTTCTCTAATGTCTGTGTAACTGCTATGTATTACATGGCTATGCACACAGCAGCTATACTCTACTGGGCAGGGGAAGAGCTGGATCAGATTGATGCACTATCAATAGCATCTTATGTCATTGTAATAGGTTCCATTTTAAAAACCTGTATCAAATAAAGAAGAAAAAAAGCAGAAAAATCAATGAAGGAAGGGAAATGTACATTATGGAAAACTGCCACAGAAACATAATAATCCTATATATTATATCTAGCTCTGAAACAGGAAAGTTAAATTAGTATTTTCTGATCCATGCACTCTTAACTAATTTCTCTTATTGAAAAAGCGAGGAAGTATCATAGTTGACATTCAGGGTATGTTTTATTCATGGTTAAGTATGAAAATGTTAAGCCAAGCACAGTGGCACACACCTGTAATCCCAGCACTTAAGGAGCCTGAGACAGAAAGACCAAAAGTTCGAGTTCCATCTGTGCTACTAAGCAAGACCCTGTCTCAAAACAGAACAAAATAAAATTAAAAAGGACTGGGTATGTAGCTCAGTGGCACAGCACCTCGGGGTTCTACCCCAGTACTATTACCCAAAAAAGAAAAAAAAAGGATTAAGAGGACCAGTTCTGGAAAATTGGAACATATATGCAATTTACAACTCATGAAATACAAGCAAAGTATTAAATACTTAATTGGCATTCATTCAGCACACAGGGAGAGCGTCCTTTGGGTTAGATATCCTGCTGAACAGGTAAGCAAAGACAAGCAGGATAAGTACCCTGCTCTTAATTGTTTATAGGCTCCATGAAAACCCAAGCGTAGTTTGGTGAGACCCCTGAAATGTTGCCAAATTCAAGAGACAAGGCAAAAGTAGAACCCATAGGATTTGGTTGTCACAGGTAACTAGTGACTGAGAGAGTGGGAATGCCATAAAATAGGAGCGTATGTACAGAAAAATGCCTCTGGTGAGACTGAAGCATCTCCTTTCAGAAGTTGATGCTTTAGTACTGGCAAGATATCCTGCTGTGTATTTCTAAGTGTAGGCAGTTAGAAATAAGGCACCCATATCAGAACCTAGGTCAAGGATAGAGACAAATGTGCAAATCACTCAAGTTTGGGCAGTAAATGGGTCAGTCAAAGGGGAGCAGGAAAGAGAAGGAAGTACAAATGTCAGGGATCTAACTGAAGAAAAAAATAAAGGGAAGAGGTGAAGAGGAGGCTTATCAGAGTCATGGTGGGGGGACTATTTATTGAGCTCTGAACAGCAAGAGAAGCGGAAAGCACTCTGTTAAGGGCTCTACGGAAAAAGCTCGCCTCTACCTGTAGAGTTAGCAAGTGTAAGGTCAAGAGGTGGAAGAGAAATGTTGAAGTGCAAATGAACCAGGAAGACAGAAAAAGAGATGGGAAGAACCATTGGGGGATTCCATCTCCAATCCCCAACACGCCCTCCTGCAGCAGAGGTCAGGCGGCCAGGTAGAGGGAGGAGCGCTGCGGCAAGAGGACACATGATAATGGCTTTATGACTTTCTGCTGTAAGTGCTCAGGAGCCTGAGAGGAAAACGGTGAACAATGAGGCCCATCAAAGATAAGGGGCTGCCTGGCCAAGGACACAACAGGAGACAACGGAGAGGAGGGAGGCCAGGGCCCATGGGAAACAGCTGGGGACCACAGGGCATGTGGCTGGGGAAGGAGATGATGAACTGCGGAATCTGAGGGGATAAGGACATCTCCCCACGTGGGCTGAGGGTACAGGATCTGCTCTTCAAGCGGGCAACTCTCTGAGGCAGAACAGTTCCAGGTGGTGAAGACTAAGGAAGACAGCCACAGTGCCTGTGTGTTACTCATGATTTGGATTTCCTCCGCGGTTCCTGACCTACAGCTCCTGCAACTCTTATAATTTCTGAGTGACCAGAACACCAAGAGTATCTTTTGTTAAGGTACAGTCTTTGGTCTTTTGTTCTGGGATCCTGAAGCAATACCCGGATAGCTCAGGAGCTGTAAAGGTGAAAGATAATCCTTTGTTATTTAGAATAAGCCCCTTCCCCTCTAAACCTGCATTTATGTTAATGAGGCAACTTTGGGAAAGTCCCTAAATAATCACACCATGGGGGGTTGGTTGCCAGGGGAACACAGCCCAACCCCCACCTCCAAGGAGAGGAAAGGGGCTGAAGGTTGAGTAGGTTGCTTATGGCCTAATCCATCATGCCTACAGAATGAACCCTCCATAAAAATCCAAACCCAAAAGCACAGGGTTCAGAGGCTTGCAGGAAGGTGAACGAGAATTTATTCCTGTGTCAGGAAGGTGGCATACCCTAACTCCACAGGGAAGGGAGCTTTGTATTTGGGGCTCTTCTGGAGTCAGTGTATCTCTTCATCTGGCTGTTCATTTATATCCTTTAAATGATCCTGCTGAATATGTTCCTTAAGTTCCTTGTCCCCCCTAGAAAACAAATTGAACCCAAGGAGGGGTTGTGGGGACCATGATTTATGGCCACTAGGTCAAGAAAACCTGGAGCTTGTGACTGGCATCAAAAGTTGGGGGCAGTCTGGGAGCCCTCAGTTTGGGGTCCAATGCTACCCTATCACCAGGTAAAAAGTGTTAGAACTGAGTTGAATTGTATGAGACCTGGACCGGTGTTGTTTGAAGGAATAATTGCTTGCTTGTTATGTGGGGAAAACTCTTACACATGTGGTGACAAACGTCTTCTGTCTTGGTTTCTGAGTGGCTTTTCTCCCTTTATTTTCAGACCCTGACATCTGGGAGCCAGCCTGGAGCTCGCAGCTGGGCCCTAGTGTTCTGGTAAAAATGATCTCACAGAAAATTAACACTAATCAAGTTCATGATGAAGACAAAAACACAGCCCCTCAGCAATGGTATCTGAACATGAAGGGTGGACATTGCCCTGACCACAAAATATCCAAACGCTCCCCCCTCAATGAATAACTGCTGCTACTTATTATTTTTAAAATGTTTTTTGGTCAATGTCGGCTACAGCTTTGCCCTAGTCTGTCTTCTCCACAGAGGGTATAAGACTTAGCAAAGTATTCCATCATATAGTTACCCACTTTTCCTGACAGCATGGAATCCAGAGCAAAGCCCTGCTCTTCTCAGCCTTTCTCAAAGTGACCCAGTGCAAACACAAGTCATGT